GGGAGCAGCCTAGACAGAATATCTAAATCTGCAGCCTGGAAAGCTGTGGTCTGCCATCTGCACACCTTCAGCCACAGCACAGGAAGATTTCTTAGGTGCTGCAAAACCTCTTTCAGGAGCACTGCACAGGGCTATTTGCCTGGGAAGGTGAGGGGGAGGGAGAGGAAAAGGTACATGAAATGTCTTTGACAATTAAAATTCTGCTGATAGCCATCTCACACGACGTCACTGGGGAAGGAATCACTCTGGAGAAGCTGTTACACACCACAGTTCTGTTGTATCTTAGACTCGTCCTACCCACTTGATGCCTTTACAGGCATTTAGCAGAAGCTAGAAATAATCACGACTCTGAAGGCAATTTTTATGCCAAGCAGAGTTCTAAAACTTGCTTAAAAAAAATCCACATAAACAGCACTAAAGGTCAGTACCAATCACCTGTCCCTGCTTTGGGGAATGAGGGAAGGGGAGGAAAAGATCAAAATCAGTACCTGAATGGATTTATCAAATCCTGCCTTTTGGAGCTATTCTGAAGTGCCTCTTACCCACTATTTTGGCTGGAAAGAGGAAGGAAGAAATGTTAAAGGTAGGAGGAGAATACACAAACAGCTACCGAGAATATAAGTTTTGTCAACTCGTTCGACTGCCGTTCATTTGATGCGAGGGACACAGTCTCCAAGCGGCTCCAACGCTGCGGAACAAACTACCTCCATAGCCAGCAGCTTCCAGCAGCAGCTCTTTCCAACCTAGATAGAGTGGCAAATTCAATAACTTCTTTAAGCCCTCCACTTTTTTCTTACTTCGACTCCGTTGGAACCACAGAAAACAACTAGTATTTCAACTAATGCCTAAAGAGAACATTTGTCCCTTCACTGTCCGTGTGACAGGACTCCGTGACGTTAATTCAGGTTTTTGATGGCAAAAAGTGTGATGTCTTAAATAGCTACAACACACAACAGTCCCTCCAGCACTAAAGAACTGCTGTGTTAACCCCTCAATGCAGTATTTGGTGCCACCTGCTAAGAAGCAAATTCAAGACATGCAGAAAATTTTAACAAATTCTACTCCTTTTACATATCCTAGTGAGGAATTTTTCTCTTTATTTAAGACAGGGCCAAGCAGATGCAGGCAACTTTCCCTGCTTTGGAGGCAGAGCCTCACAGGGCTGTTTCACCCAGGCACCGCACCTTCGCGTGACCTCTAAGTCAGCAGTTCTCAGCAAGGCAGAGGACAGTGCAGCTCCAGGGAGGCCCAGGCATAGCTTGGAACCTCCAACATCTTGCAGAAAAAAAAAAAATAACAAAAATAGAAGTCCTCTCCTCTTGCATTAAAAAGAAAAGAGAGAAGCGTTTGAAAAGATGGAATTGAACTAGTCAGCATGATCCTGCTCATTTCTAGGCACCAACTTTCACAAAGGAGATAAGAGTAGGAGTAGGAATGAGTTTGTCACGGACTTCATGTACCATCTACAGAACAGCAGTTGGCATCTCTTGCTCATACGTCAAACGTGCGCCTCCACAGTATTCCAGACACAGTTTCTGATTATACTTTTTTTTTAAGAAGAATTTAATGCTGACTTAACAGAAGTGACAAATAGATCATCTGTGCACAGGGCAAATCATGAACACACCAATAGAGAAGTACTATCAAGGTGCTTAAATCCTACCACGGCTGAATAACGGGAAAAGTGATTCTCAAGGTCTTGCGCGGTCTGTCTGAGTTTCAAGGAATCAGCTGCAGAGTTGGGGGCACCTGGTTTGCGGCTGTCAATGATTATAGCAATTGCAAACTTTAGAGTTTGGCAACAGAGGTGGAATCTTGTGATTCCATTACTGACCCTCAGAGCTCTGTAAATCCAAGCTCAACACTTTTCACAGCATCAGGTTACCTTATAAAACTAAATCTTTACCAAAACCAGATAAGCTAATACCAGTATCCCCAGACAATTTCAGAATTAGGCTGTACGTAACATACATGTCCATAAATTGTGTACGAGAGACTTGAAGCACAATGCAAATCTCTACAGCTGCTGAGAAATTCTGATGAAGGACTGTCATGGTTTAGGCCCAGCTGGCAACTAAACACCATGTGGCCCCTCGCCCACTCCTCCTCCCGGTGAGATGGGGAGGAGAAAATACAATGAAAGGCTCGTGGAGCGAGACAAGGACAGGGAGGGGTCACTCACCAGTTATGGTCATGGGTGAAACAGACTCAACTTGGGGAAAAATCAATTTAATTTGATACCAATCAAATCAGAGTACGATAATGAGAAATAAAACCAAACCTTAAAAACACCTTCTCCCCACCCCTCCCTTCTTCCCGGGCTCAACTTCACTGGAACAGACTGCTCCAGTGTGGGTCTCTTGCGGGGTCACAGCCTCCTTTGGGCACATTCACTTGCTCCAGCGTGGGGTCCTCCACAGGCTGCAGGTGGATCTCTGCTCCACCGTTAACCTCCTCCATGGGCTGCAGGGGCACAGCCTGCCTCACCATGGCCTTCACCATGGCCTTCACAGGAAGCTCTGCTTTGGTGCCTGGAGCACCTCCTGCCCCATTGACCTTGGTGTCTGCAGAGTTGTTTCTCTCACTTATTCTCACTCGTCTCTCCACTGCAGGTTCGGTAGCAGGATTTTTTAATTCCATTCTTAAATATGTTATCCCAGAGATGCCCCCATCGTGGCTGACTGGCTTAGCCTTGGCCAGAGGCAGGGCCACCTTGGAGACAAGGAAGCTTCTAGCAGCTTCTCACAGGAGCCACCCCTGTAGCCTCTCTCCCACTACCAAAATGTTGCCACACAAAGCCAGTACAGACACTAAGGAGGGATCTGGCACTGTTGTCACCAGCAAATATCATAGAATTAAACAAAATCAAAATAATTTTATGGCCTCAAATACTGCCATGCACTTGTCACAGAAGTCTTCCGTCAGTTTCTGGGCATATAGTGATGTAACAGTAACTGGTACCCAGTAAAGGTACTGCTGTACAATATATTGCCCTGGTGAATTTCACCGTATCTCACAATTTAACTTTTGGCAAAGTAGCTGTTTGCCAGAGCCATGTGGATATTGGCAAACAGCACACGTGGTACGGTCACGGTGTACTGGCTGAACCTCAGGCTCTTAAAAGTCCAACCTCAAGTGTGCAGTGAGTTGAGAAGGCCTTAAAGAATGTTTCTAGATCTCCCAAGTTCACCCTACAATGAGGCATTGGTGCAAAGTGAATTGTTCTCCCTCTAGCTGGAAAACAAATACTACAAATTTCATCAGGTCTGCCAATTTCAATCCAAAAATTGCTACCGGGTAGCCTAAAAAATACCCTGAAAAATCTTAAGACAAGCACTTAGGACCTCTAAGGGCTGATGTGTCCATATCCAATAGTAAAAATCCTTTGTTGGACATGGGTTCTTTGGCACCAATTTCCAAAAAGTCAGTGGTACAATGGCTTTGTCTAGCTTTGACAACTAGAAAAAGTTGCTCAGTCTTTGAGAATACCAACTTTTATTTTCAAGACAATTATTATACTCTTACTGAGTGTCATAAAAAAGTTTCTCTATTTTTCCCATAATGGCATAAGGTCTGGCCAAATTTCAGTACCGGGGTTTAAGTCGGGTTTCAGAACAGATTTTTAAAAAATGAGGGAGAGGGAGGGAGAAACAAAAACCTGCAGTTGCTGAATTATGCTATTTATAATGACCTTAGATATTGACAGTCCTTACAGGAATATCATGCTTTATGATCCTTACGATTTACTGGGAGAATAAGGCAAGTTTCATAACGCTTCACAATTCACTTGCTAATATCTTCCTCAGGCTTTGGCATAAAGGTGCTGCTGGGAACGACACCACCCCAAACAGTGAAAGTTGGCTGCACTAACCATGTCCTGTTTGGCACCTGCCATGATATCACGCCAACAGATACCACATCCAAAGTCTTATGGACTTTACAGATAGGAGCTCAACTGGATAGTTGGGTTTAAGTGGTTTCACAGCTACTGCTGTTTGCTCATAAGAGGAGATACTCACCCAAGGCCTGAGGATACACTGAAGAGCCTTAAGGGATAACAGAGGCCGTTAACATACTACTAAAATGATCACAACTCTCCACTCTTGAATCTGACACTGACTCGGATAGTTTCTGCTTTTCTTGGTCATTGCAGACAACTAAAACCACTTTTTGTACTATCCACGTTTTCCAAATTCTACAGCAAATCTGATCCTGCTGAGAACTCGTGGGCCCCCCTTCCTAATCAACACGAGGCACTTTGCCTTCAGTGCTGCTGTCTGGTTTGGGTTGGTAGTCGTGCCTGGGACAGCTCTGTACGTTACCTTCTGGAGCTCCCCGGCTCCACCGAATACTCGCGCCGCATTTGCAGATGGGGGGGGTGCCATATGCCAATGCAGTAGCAATTTTTGACTCACAGTCAAAAGCATCCCAAAAAGTCAGTATGCAGGATCTTCTGCCATATGGAGGAATTGTTATTTGGCCTTTTCTTTAGCTGTATCTCATTACGCAAAATGAAATTAAAAGGAGAGAACATTCTTTTCTTCTTCGTGACTCTTGCCCCAGAGTTCATCTTCATTTGAAAGCCAGCGTTCATTTCTGGTACCTAGAAACCAATCAGAGCAGAAGGAAGTTGTAAGAGTCTAGGTGATTAAGGACAGTGTCCTGTCCAGTTCAATGGGTTTTCTTTAAGTCTTTTACACTTTGAATGTGACTTCTTTCAGGGAAGAGGGAGAAGCATGATAGAGAGCTAAGGCTCAGAAAGACCGGAGGAGAAAAGAACTGCACCTTCCATGGAGTCTGTAATGGTGCATGACCTACAGTAAAGCTCTTTAATTGCCTCCATAGACTGCAGCACTTTGAGGGTGTCACTGATAGCACTGCCCTGGTCCTCGTGTGTTCCGCAGTCTGTTTTGCTCAACATGGGAGGTCTGTTTAATCTGAGACTTTGCTGGGATTTTGCCTTTATTTTTTTATAGTCACTAACATGGCATTAACATACTGCAGACATTTGTGGTTTAACTTTACCGAGCTAATATCATGGCTAGTGCACAAACAGGAAAGCAATCAGATACAGGTTTAAAAGTTACAAAGATAAGTAGAAACCTCAAAGCTGCTCCGCTTCCTTACGATCTTCCTCGATGTAGAACGATGTCAAGAGGAAAAAACCTCCTCCAAAGACACCAACAAAAGCACACAGGATGAAGCTGTACTGCATGCTCCAGAAACTCCACTGGAATGAGTGAGTGTTCTTGGCCTGGATAGCATTGGACATCTAAGGAGCGAACGAGGCTGTCATTAATTTAGGGTAATATCATCCTCTCTTGGTTTAAGTGGACTGTTGACAGTGTGGTCCTTGAAAAGAATAAAACTAGGCAGGCAGGGACAAAAAGCCTGCTACCAACGTTTGCCAAACCCAGTACCCAATACACCAACACTTCCCTGCTGTCCAGCTTCCGTTTGGTCAAGGAATCTCACATTCTTTTATACCTTCAATGCCTACAGCCACAAGAGTATGAAATACTGCAACCAGTGTTTATCATGTTTGGTAAAGATTAACTTATTCTGCCATTTTCTAGCCCACCTCCAGATAGCCAGCACAGGACATGGGGCAATGACCTTTATCATTTCTTGAGAACGTTACACACCCGCAATCTGCATCAAATGGATAGAAACGGGGCACTGGCATCAATACAGGCACAAGCTGCAACACTCATTAAAAACGGAAAAGCTGGAAATTAATTTGAGAGAGCAAAGTGCAGTCTGCTTTTGAGCCAAAAGGCATTTGAGGAGCCATGGAGTGACATTATGAGGAACTGGGAAGAAGAAGATGCCAGGCAGCTGCTTTTCACGCTGGCTGGAGGATAAGGCTGTAAAAGCTATAAACGATGGACATTAATTTTATTTTTGTAGACAGAAAGAGAAGGTGGTTTCACGAAACTCAATAAGATTCAATACTTAACCCAGGACCTTAAAGTCTCTTCTTAGCATAAACAAAAAGGTGAATGTTGAATGCAGTCATTTTTATTCCCACGTTTGTTCTTGATGGTTAGAATATGCTACGTGACTTGAAATACACAAATATGCAACTCTTCAACCTTTGCTGGGTTTAGTAGTATTATTATTAAGTATTATTATTACTTAGTATTATTTATGACAGTTTAGGTAGATAAGAGCAAGATCAACTCTAAATGGGCACCTAGGGACTACAACAAGCATAATGGCCAAAATACAAACCTAATGTATTTAACTTTAAAATGTTTAGTAAGAAAATCTCTGGAGCACAGAGGGAAGACAAACAGACTCTGAAAAAGACCATGCTCTGACTCTCCAGCCAGTTTTTCAGCTAAAGGGTTAGCTGAAGCAGGTCAGTAAACAATAGCAAGATGTGTATGCAGAAGATTTAGTGGTTAATCAACAGCAGACATGGGCAGCGTTGGAATTTTGCTTCTCAGAAGCGTGCCTGAAAACAACGTTGTGCTCATTGCATAGGACCCCACTTGGACATAAAGCAGTTTTATTCCTGGATTTATTGTCTCTGTTCTTTGCAAAGTTGCAAGGTTACCTGAGGTTAATCTCATCTGGATAAGCCTTTTTTTGTCTTCACACTTTTCAATTAGCTGCTATTTAAGGCAGCTACGTGCAAGGTCCTGCATAAGAAGTATTCCACGCACAGTTACTGGCAGGATGCAGCAGCACA